CAATAGCCACCACTAATGCAGTCATCGCTGGTCTCATTGTTCTGGAGGCGCTGAAGATTCTCAACTCAGACTTCGACCAGTGTCGCACGGTAAGCTTGCAGTGTTACTCCTTTGACACTTTGAAACCCGAATTGCATCATGTCCTGTCGAATCTAACACATCTTTGCATTTGTTTTTCTCACTTGGTTTAAGGTAATTACATCTCAGCAGTAATCTCAGTTGTAAAGACCTTTTTTGACCTTATTCTGTTTTTGAAAGTCTTGTCAAGTGGTATAGGTGGGAGTTATAGGGCTTGTCCAGAAACTCACACTTGTGGTCTTTGCACTTTCTTACTACTTGTATGACATATTTCTTGTATTTGGCCCAAGTGTTCAAGTGAGCATGAAGACCACAAGTGTGTGTAGAAATTCTCATTACTGGATGGGACATAACTATAGTGTTATAAAAATGCAACCAATAAAATTTTCATCACTTTGTTTTGCTACCAAATTAAATGTAATCTAATTATTATTAATATTTGATGTACATTTGAAAAGGTTTGGCAACATCTCGCAAGATCTCGGCAAAAAATCTTACGATTTATTTCCAGAATATGATGCATGATGGGATATGCCTAGCCTTGAATACCTCTTCGGAGCGGTATTTGGGATAGTGGATTTAGTATGCGTTAAGGGCACTGCGTTTTAAAGACCTGGGTACAGTACCCGCCGGGTTTCCATTAAAGATTTGAGCAAAACTTTTGTGATATTTTATAAATCCAGATAAAAAACCTATTGCGAATTGACAGCATTTCCATTAACTGATGTTATGCGACTAAAACTTCATTTTTTTCCTCTTGCGATAAGTCGGCGACGGATGTTGGTAGGTTGATGTATATTGCAGCCACCGCACTAGCCATTAATTTTAATCGAAGGAGACATCGGCATTAGGGATGTAACGATTAACCACGAGCCGGTTGAAAATCGATTCAAATACGTGACGATTCAAATCAGTTGAGATGCTAAACAAATCGCGATTTATTTAGAGGTAGGAGTTTTATATGAAAGTATGTCTGAGGGGAACTTGATGTCTTTAGAAAAGTTTAGATGGTATTTTTTTCTTTTTATCTTGCCTCTGTAATATATGAAGATATTTATTTTATTTGTGTTACTTATTTATTTGATTTGGGGCTTGTTTTAAAATTTCAATTTAGGTTTGTTACATTTACATTATATTTAAATTTAGTCATTTAGCAGACACGTGTGTCCAAAACGACTTACAAATGAGGACAATAGAAGCAATCAAAACCAACAAAAGAGCAATAATATGCAAGTGCTATATTAGTATATTATTATAGTGTTATATTTCAATTTCACAAAGAAACGTGCAGCATTTTGTCCAAGCAAAAATTAAAGGACACATTTAATTTATAATTTGTCTTGAATCTCATTTTGTTCAAAAAAATCGTGAATCGAATAGTGAAATCAAAATCGTGAATCGAATCGTGAGTTGAGTGAATTGTTACATCCCTAATAGGCATGTATCTTCAGTAAAGCAGCGCAGAGTCGCTTCTTGGATGCCTCTGAAATGTGCCGCAGCCCTGCTGATAAAAACACAATCATTGACTAGAGTGGCCACGATCAGTGCCAGTGGCCATCTTGGAGCCATAATGCAGTGTAAATAAGGTGTTATCCTAGCATTAATGGCAAGGAAAGAAAGGTGTTTTTTGAGGTAATGGTACATTAAAGAGTGATAATGTGACTTATGCACGCCAGGTGAACTGTTAATGTGAAAAAACTGTTTCCATTGCAGTTTTGTGATATATTCCTTTTCCGAATTACCTGAAAAACCATCTCATGTAAGCGTAAAAACTTAATTGCAATTATATGGGAGTTTTTGCGAAAGTGGTGTGTTCCTATTAGGCTTTTTTTAAATTCACAACTTCAATTTGCGCAATTTGAAGGGTAATGGAAATGTGGCTACTCTTGCACACTCACTTCCTATTACTTCCTTATGCCTATGGCCCATAGCCTTACTCCTATGTTGTTGTTGTGTGTTTTTTTTTTAAAGATCTTCCTGAATAAGCAGCCGAACCCCAGGAAAAAGCTTCTTGTACCGTGTGCGCTGGACCGGCCCAATTCCAACTGTTACGTGTGTGCCAGCAAACCTGAGGTCACAGTCAAACTTAATGTGCACAAGACCATTGTGCAAGCTCTTCAGGACAAGGTACCAGTAATTTATTTCAATCCAAAAGCCTTGATGTTTGTGTGATCTCCAAGAGATTCAAGTCTGGATTTAAATGTTAGAGTGTTTATTTATGGTGTTGCTTTTTCAGATACTGAAGGAAAAGTTTGGCATGGTGGCACCAGATGTGCAAATTGAGGATGGCAAAGGAACGATCCTCATCTCTTCAGAGGAAGGAGAGACTGAAGGTGTGAATTAAGTCAGCCTCTAGAGGGCATCTTTCTCTACTATAACATACTCTGAGCTTTGTTTTAATGTGTTGGTCTCTCTGTTTCTCTGCAGCAAACAATAACAAGTTTTTGTCCGGCTTTGGGATTCGGAATGGGAGCCGTCTTCAAGCAGATGATTTCCTTCAGGATTACACTCTTCTAGTCAATGTCATTCACAGGTCAGTGTGGCTTCATTTAGCTAAGAGGATGATACTTTGGGTTTCTTGAATATTAAAATGTATCTTGCATTTATTGCAGCGAGGAATTGGAAAAGGATGTCGAGTTTGAAGTAGTGGGTGATGCCCCGGATAAGGCGCCTGCACCAAGTGCCCCGGAAGAAGGGAAAAACATTGCCAACGGTAACAAAGATTCTGCCCAGCCGTCTACCTCATCTAAAGGTAAGAACAACATGGATTGCCTGCAAAACATCAGTCTTTAAAAGAAATAATTCACCTTAAAATTGGAAACAAGCAGCTTGGACATTCTGCTAAACATCTCATTTTGTACTTTACGGGTGAGAAAGTTTCGTTGCATTTGAGTAATGTACTTTTCTCATGTTTACAGCAGCTGCAGAGGATGATGATGTCCTTATCATAGACTCAGACGAAGAACCGTCCTCGAGCACCATGGAAGCTTCCCCAGAGTCTAGTAACCGCAAGAGGAAGCATCATGATGCTGATGATGCTGCGTCTAAGCGTAAACGCCTCGACCAGCAGCCGTCCGATGATGATGAAGACATCATCGCTCTAGACTAGCATCATTCACAAGATTTCACCTGCCCACAATAGAGGATTTTCCTCCAGTTGAATTTTTGTACGGTTTCTCTTACCAAACATGTAAATATATCTGTACAATATGGTTCAAGCTCAATGGATGTCGTCTTTTCCTTCTCTCCTTTGTTATTTGGGAACAGAAAACGGCTGAGTTATGAGCTACACTCGGTTAGGTTTTCCTCAAGATGGATAAAATGCTTTTCAACGTAGTATTTTTTACAATGTGTGTGTCCTCGTATTTTGCAGTGGTTTAGAAAGGCTGACAAAAGTGCTCACGGTATTTCGATGCATTTTTTTTTTCATCTTGAAAACCATATTCCATATTTATTACAGGTTGTTTTTGTTGACAACCTTAGTAATATTTCTGATCACCAAATCATTTTACAGTAACAGTGTATTACTGTATGATGGCTGGTATGTCTTCTGTTGCATTGCTTTAGAACCACAATGAAAAATATTGACTTCTTTTTTTTAAGAAAATACACTTAGACAACTATTTACATCTTTGTGTTTCATTCTTATAATTTTAGTCTTTACTTGGGTAGTATAAATGAGCCCATTCCTCATTTACTGACCAAACTGAGCAGCTAAATAAACTAGGGCATCGTCTCATTTAACCTTTATTTACCATGAAAGCATGGCCTTGAAAGGGTACAATGTCCTAATTGCACTTTGTTTACATTAGAATGTTTGACGTAAGAACATTCTGTTTTCACTTATTGCTCACGTAGATGTCAGAGTCCACCGTTCACGTGGTATTTGTCGTCAGTAGGGTTAATCGAAGATGCTACATGACACGTTAACCCTTCCCCTAGTTGGCACCTCAACTGAAATGCAAACGTTTTTGTATTGTGTCAAATTTTGCAGGAAATTGTCAACAGTTTATTTGGTCAAGATACTTTTTTCTGTGTGAATATGCAGAAAAATCTTTTACAGACAAGGAATTAATACCATCTCGTGTCCATTCAGAGCAATTTTCGTTTCGCAAACGATGAAAAACGCAGAAAATATAGGCCCTATGCTTCCCAGTGCTCACAATGACTAGCTGTCGAGTGGCTGTACACTAGTTATTGCGATGCATTATTATGGGATTGAATGAGTGCACTCCATAGTGTCCACCATGGTTTCAGACACTACCACAAATGTCTGTCCGTTTAAATTGTAAACTATGGGTCGTTTTTTTTTTCATGAATTGGTTCACGTAACCGGTTTTGTTCTGAACTCACTTTTCGCACAATTCAAACTCACTGACAAGTCTTTATTAAGACGTGTTAGTTTTCCAGTTTTTTTTTTTCTGTTTGTATTTATTTGTAATCATCCATCCCGGGTCAGTTTGTCAAAAACTTAATTTAGAGCCTACATTTAATTTGCATTTAGAATAAATTATATTAAAATAATTTACATCACTCCGTGGAAAACTAACACGTATTGACAGATCGGTTATGTGAACCGATTCATGGAAAAATATTACCTATATTTATATAAACGGTAATAATGGCGACAATTTTGGAAAATATATATATATTTATATGTGTGTATGTATATATATATATATATATATATAATATTTTCCACTAAATAATGGTCACCGTTATTATATTTACATATATAAATAGGTAATAATATTATAAATAAATTCCCTAAGTCTTGAATGTGACAACCATTTCCTCGTGTCCTGTCTCGTCCCTCCTATGCATATAATTAAGCCCTAACGCCCCTCAGTGGATGAAGCTGATTGGATTGAGTTTGGATACCCGACCCCCAGCTGGACGTAGTCCTCCATTTTATCCCCTTTTAGTGGGATATTTAAACCTGTTCGTCCATATGCGCGTCATTTCGTCCTACTGCCTTGACTACAATGAAAAGCTGTGAGTTTCATAAGACCCACACAATTGGAAACCTCTAGATCTCCGTTCGGAGTTTGGTGGGTGTTGTTAACTAGCCCTTTTTGCCTTAATCTGCCAATCAGTAGGGCGCGAGAGCAAGCTGGGTGTTGTTGGCACAAATTCGGCACGAGAGCGCACGCGAAAGGACAATATTTCACATGCCGTGGCGTCACGGCATGACTATATAATTAATTTGTAGGTTATTAAAGTAAACGGCCAACATCATGGTGACACTGACCGCGATCGTCGCGCCTCTCGGTCGGCAGATCCACAGGCATCTGGTGAAGCATGTCAGAAGCCAGCGCTGGATACCGTCTCGGACATGTAACTTGTCTGCATGCTCCAGCAAATTAGTTCTCAGTCGAGGTTAGTGCATTTTTTGGTTTGTGTCATGATAGAAATCCCACCACCTTGTTTTGGTGAGTGGTCTTTTTGCTAGACTATTTGTGCACTATTTACACCACTAGGGTTTATTACAGATGTTGTAATGTCCTTTATGACTGGGCTGATGATTATACGGTCACAGTGTGTATGTTTATTATCAACGAAATCGCCTTCCTGAATGACTTCCGGGTTTGCGTGAAATGGAATGTTTACATGAAACACGGCGGGAAATGATCACTGCATTGAATGTGTCAGGAAGCTGCAGTAGTTTATCGTGTTTTTGTTGGTAAATTAACCTTGAGCGTTATCATTAAGGATGTATGTACTAACCCCATCAGTTTACTTCGTGTTTTACATGTTTCACATGTCACTGTTTTTCCACAAGCCCCGCCCATGAGAGATATGGGCCATGTTTATTATGTCTGCAGAACATTCATTGAAAACGGCCTTGAAGATGCAATATAAGTCACACGAGACCGAGTATATTTCATTAAAGGACAAATAAAACCGTTTTTCCCCTCCATAAGAGCTCTTTAAAAAAAGAAACTGAATTTGATCAGTTTTTAGTAGTATGAGTGTGTCATTTGTTGATTTGCTCTTGATAGTTACTGATAATCAAACCAAGCAGATAAAGAAATTTAAACAGGGTACAAGATAGGGCCTAAAACTTTTAAAATGTAAAGTACTTTTCTTGCCTTTTCAATACATTTACTGTGTATTTAATGTTCAATGACAATCAAAAAAAAAAAAAAATGCAATTTTTGCAAGAACGAGTGGGTAACAAGGTTGCAAACTTAGGCTAAGCTAAGTTCTCACTCAGTGGGAGTAGTTATTTATAAACTTAGATTTCATAATTCGTAATAAGAGGTTTGCATGCAAGAATGATTAATTTCATATTCTTGTATATTAATATAACTGTTATTTATACTCATATCTTTACTGTGTGATTAGCAGTAGCTTATAGCTGTCATTTGTATTGTGTAGACATTATCTTATCAAAACCAGATTGGTTTATCAACAAATAAAGCCTTTTTTTTTCGATTTTTAATTGTTTAAACGTCACATTGAAAGCCACATAAAAGCAAAGGACAATTAAAGTTTACGAAGTAAAGGTTACATGCAACAAACCTATTTGTTAAAACGAGTAAACGTTAACAAAGGATAAAATAAAATATTTTCAGTGAATGTGGTCTGTCAGCTGTGGTTTTGGGATAGAAAATAACAGAGTAAACATCCCAAATCAAGTCTATTTCAAAAGTTGGACATTTAATCAAAGACTAAGCTTGAATGGGTATGTCTTTTGATATTTTATAAGAGAGTTATAGTTTGAACCCATGCTGTGTTTGCTTTCCATAAAATGGGTCAGCAGCACGGTTGTAATCCCTCTTTGCTAGACCACTTAAATGGCTGACAGGAATTATAGTAAAGGCCATTTTAATCTCATGAAAGGCAGTTGGTCACATTCTCTGGCTGTTTTAATTCAACTCCTTTTGTAGAATCTAGAGCATGTGACCACAATCTAAGCAGTTATTGTGTAAGACGAGCTTCTTGCTGTATAAAGGAGCTCTTACATGTTTGCACAAGGATCGCCTATAACATTCTCAAGGGAATGTCCATTCATAAAGGTGGCATAAAACTCTGCTGACTGTCTTCCTGTTGAGCTCTACAGTCAGTTTTTCCCTGACATTCCACATGTCAGGTTTTTTCTTTTCTTTTTTTGAATCATCGAGTCACAGAAGGAAGCATATTTTCTTCTCGACTTTCACTTCTCTAATACGCTCCAGAAGGACGGCTTGTCGGCTTTTTGTGCTGCTTTGGGTTTCTTTTTGCTGCTTTTTTCCTGTTTGGATTTTAAGCATTTAATTTCAGAACAGATGTGTAACTCAATGCATGAGGCTGCACTTTGTGCCATAAAATGTAGGTTTATGTGTTCTATCTATCTATCTATCTATCTATCTATCTATCGTGACCACAATCTAAGCAGTTATTGTGTAAGACGAGCTTCTTGCTGTATAAAGGAGCTCTTACATGTTTGCACAAGGATCGCCTATAACATTCTCAAGGGAATGTCCATTCATAAAGGTGGCATAAAACTCTGCTGACTGTCTTCCTGTTGAGCTCTACAGTCAGTTTTTCCCTGACATTCCACATGTCAGGTTTTTTCTTTTCTTTTTTTGAATCATCGAGTCACAGAAGGAAGCATATTTTCTTCTCGACTTTCACTTCTCTAATACGCTCCAGAAGGACGGCTTGTCGGCTTTTTGTGCTGCTTTGGGTTTCTTTTTGCTGCTTTTTTCCTGTTTGGATTTTAAGCATTTAATTTCAGAACAGATGTGTAACTCAATGCATGAGGCTGCACTTTGTGCCATAAAATGTAGGTTTATGTGTTCTATCTATCTATCTATCTATCTATCTATCTATCTGTATGTTTTGATAAGGTATGTTTTTATTTTGCTGTTTTTGTCTCATTGTTTGTAAAAACCAACAGTTTTTGAAATGTTGTATTTTTTTAGACTTTTTAAAAAGCTGGCATTCTGCCTACTTGGACAGCATTTTGGGGCATCATGCTTGCATTTACACATTTTTGATGGCTGAAATCCTGCCTAGATAAACACCGACCTAGTTTTATCTGTTTCCTTATCCTGACTGGCCATTTTCTTCCCAGTGCATCCGATGTGGCAGGAGCCGCTCGCCATTCCCGGTGGAGATCGCCAGTCGCCTATTGACATTGTGGTGCGTAAAAGCGTCTTTGATCCACAGCTCAGACCTCTGAAGGTACAATATGACCCAAGGACCTGCCAGCAGATCTGGAATAATGGCTACTCTTTTCTGGTTGAGTACGACGACACGACTGACAAATCCAGTAAGTTACCTTCATTGTCTTAATAGCAAAATGGTCCATAGTTGTGACCAAAAAATCTTCTGAAAGAAGAAGATCCCATATTAACTGATTCTGATTTTACAATAGTAATACTAGGAACTATATTACTTTGGTGGAGACTCTGCTTGCTGAGTATGGTACATTTTTTGTAAGGAAAAATAATATTTATGTTAGCTTTATCCAAGTAGGAATTTCCAAGGTGATACCAAGAACACAACAAAAACATTTTGTTTTTAATTGTATTCTTGTCTAATAACTCTGCCTGAAATGAAAAAATCAGCTGTTCTGTGGTGTGAGAAAACCCTAAACTCACATGAATCTCTTTTAGCTCTGAAAGGAGGCCCATTGGAGGATCAGTTCAGACTGTGTCAGTTTCATTTTCACTGGGGGGAGAACAACGCCTGGGGCTCTGAACACTCCATAGACCGCCGCCTTTACCCTGCTGAGGTATTTTTAGTACTTATGTAAAAATGAAGAACACAAAATCACTCCATTACTTACTTAGTCATCTTTTTGAGCCATCTGAATGTCGTTTTTACTATGAGGAAGTATTTCTCTCTTGCGATACAGACAGACCTTCTCTATAACAGAGGGCGGAGACTTTACCGTTAGGAACGACCTGCTATTTCTATTGTAAGATAGTCACCTCGATAAATATGTGGCACTAACCCAAGACAAGTACACTGTACTGCTTTAACTCCGAGCCAATTACATAAGGAGACATGTGTGAGCGACTTTACTATGCCAAAAAGCCAAGTTTGCCTTTGTTAGCGCTGGTGAGAATGTGACCTCCTTACTGCGCTCAACACTCCTTTAGCTCTACTGATTTGTCTCTGAGTGTGTGTGTGTTTAACAGCTCAAATTTCAGTCCTGTAAATGTATCCTGTATTGCGTAAAGTGGTTTCATTCCCGCCTCCTTGGTTAAATCGAATCGTTCCAGAATGAATGGAGTTCTGTCCATTTGTACGGGTGTTGGTTTAAACCATTGCGGTATGTCAAAAGCACAAAAACTAGCTATGTTCAACTGCAGGATTGTGTAACAGGACGAACAACTGTAGTAACCTGAACCAAATGAAAGGCATTATGGGAAATGTGCTCATTAGTATCATTCATATTGGCATGGGTGTGTATCTTTTCTGTGTCTTCACAGCTTCATCTTGTTCACTGGAACTCGGACAAGTACAGTTTGTTTGAGGAGGCTGTTATTGAGGAGAATGGACTAGCTGTTATTGCGGTCTTTCTGAAGGTACTGATGTGTGTAATTATCATCAAACTTCTTTTTCTTAGATCTTTAAGCTTAGAAGGCTTTTGTAATTGCAAAAAAAAGTACATTTGATTTGTGTTTTTCACAGATTGGAAAGAGACACGAGGGTTTGCAGAAATTGGTGGATGCCTTGCCTGCAGTCAGGCACAAGGTAAGGCATGATTAAACTTTGTTTTGTACACTCTGAGCTTCGGCTTTGTTGTGAGATTAAGAACCTCAGAGCGTGATGTTTTGGAAACAGTGGGATGAGGGATAAACTTGTTCATACATTTTGTTTTATACTTTCAAAGTATGTAATATCCTCATCCTTTTCCATCCAGGATAGCGTGGTAGAGTTCATCAAGTTCGACCCTGCGTGTCTCCTCCCGGAGAAAATCGATGATTATTGGACATATGCAGGTTCTCTGACCACTCCTCCTCTTACTGAGGCGGTGACATGGATTGTGATGAAACAGCACATTGAAATCAGTCATGATCAGGTAGGAGGCCGATGTGTTTGGGGAATGTGAAATGTGGAATTGTGGAAATTAAGGGGATATTTTTTCCCTGATAGCAAATTTAACAGTACAACTGGCCAACTGACCTTATTAGAATAGCTCAGCTTTTTCCATATTCCTATTTGTCAGCTTGTTTAAATGTTTCCTTCTGTATTTTTTTTTGTTTTCTTTCTTACGAAAGCCAACACAATTGCTGCAATTGCATTCTCTTGGTACATATCTTTTTCTCCCTTTGTTTGTCTGTTTGTATTGCTTTATTTGCTTAAAAAAAAAAAGAATAGCTCAGCTAGAAAAACATATGTTTTTGCAAATTAAAGTAATTGTGTAATATAAATTACACAATTATATGTTCACCCAAAAATGAAAATGAATTACCCTCATGTCGTTCCATAGACAGCAACGCAACTACCACATTCAAGGCCCAGAAAAGTAGTAAGAACGTCAGTACAATAGTCCATGTGACTTCAGTGGTTTAACCGTAATTTTATGAAGTTGTGAGAGAAAAATTTGTGTGCATAGAAAACAAAAATAACAACTTTATTCAATAATCTCTTCTCTTCCGAGTCTTGAAGCGTGTTCATGACAGTACCATGACGCATAAAGTCATTATTTTTGTTTTCTTTGCACACAAAAAGTATTCTCATACCTTCATAAAATTACATTTGAACCACAGATGTCACACTGACTATTTTAACGATGCCTTTACTACCTTTCTGGGCCGTGAACAGGGTAGTTGTGTTGCTGTCTATGGAGGGTCAGAGAGCTCTCGGATTTAATCAAAAATATCTTAATTTGTGTTCCGAAGATGAACGTAGGTCTTACGGTTTTGGAATGACATGAGGATGAGTAATTAATGAAAGAATTTTTATTTTTGGGTGAACTAACACTTTACGCATTTCCCATTAAGAATTATAAAACCGCTTTTTTGCTTGAATGGGTCCAATTGCTTTCTCACCACAAGCAAACCACTCCAGAGTTTTTCAGTTGGGCTGAGACCACCTTGTTCAGCCAGTCCTGGACAGATTATTTTGGTGTGGATCCAAGCGAGAATGTTGTGTTCATATGACTAAATGAATCGAACTAAAGGAGAAAACGCACGAGGTTCCAAAATGAATGCTCCAAACAAGCAAGGTGTGAAATTGCGGTAAAAATGATTTTTTTCTTAAAATCTTTTGTAAAAGAATCTCAAAACAATCCACGCTAAAATACTTTAACTATTGAGATCACACTGAAATGATCAAGGATGTGAATTAAGCCACTAATTCCTAACTGTGGTAGTCTTTAGGACATGCAGAGCTGTAGGTTATACGCAGCTAGGAACAGTGCAGAGTTTGCCGGATTATTGCATTTAAGACTTGTCATTAGTTTTCCTGGTGTTTAGGAATAATATATATTTTTCACACCATCAGAAAGCTGTGAAACTTCAGAACAAGTTTTTTGACCGCGTATTTACAATGCTAAGAGAATGCTAAGGAATTTGAGTTCTGAATGTATATATGACCCTTTTAAAAACAGCTGATGAATGCCATAAATTCATGCTTTGAGACACCCCTCACACTGGCTATTTTAACTCAGCTGGGAGTCTGTTTGTTATTCCAACATCATGTTCCACTGCTCCATGGAACGGAAAAGTTCATCTGGCTGACTGCTGACATCTGTTTTCTCCATCTTTTATATACAAGTTTCCTTTTATTCTTTGCTCTCATTCTAAATGCCTTTATTTGAATTTGTTCCCCATTTTTACATATTATCTTCCGTTCTTTTTTGTCTTCTCAGTTGGCAGTGTTTCGAAGCTTGCTGTTCACATCGGCAGAAGAGCAGGTGCAGAGAAGCATGGTCAACAACTTCCGTGTTCAGCAGGCTTTGAAGGGACGGACTGTCCGTTCTTCTTTCACCCCCTTCCTCCAAGATGCTCCCTCTATGAAGTAGCATCAAAACTCAGTGACCTAATTCACATCTTAACCTCCAAAACAAGCACCGACTCATCAGTCATTCTTTATTGTGGACTTCTGAGATCCATAATGTCTTAACTAGATTTTTTAAATTTTTTTATTCACCATTTCCAGCCAGGCATTTAGGTGTAGATTGGAGAGATTCCATTGAAAGGGATTAACAAAAATGTAGTTTAGTTATTGAAGGGCCTGCTTATTCCTCTGACAGAAGGTTCATGCAATTCATCGTCATTTCGCTGTATTTGTTCAAGTATTGAAAATAATACTAGAATTCAGAAAATTCTAATTTCAGTATGAAACACGCACATTTCCTTTTAATATAGTAGCAAAGGGTGTCCACTTTTGAGGACAAACAGCTCCCTCTTGTGGATAACTGACAGAATGCAAATGTGGGGGGGGGGGATGTTCAGTAGTTTTAGTTAAGTGGTAACTCGTTTGCTGCCAGGGAATTTCTTTTATGCGTGAAACTGCACAATGCCTTTCACTTTTGATTGGTTTTTAGATGTTAAATAATTTTAAGTATAAATAATCTTAAGTAATAAACATGTAGAGAGAAAATTTTAAATATTTTAAGATTACATTTAAATATTGCAGTTTAAATAAGACTAGAAATATAGTCTTTATGAAAGGTGCACTAGACATTTAGAGGTGTCAAAGGAAGAGGAGTAGATTAATGCACACAACTGTTTAGTGAAGATGCATTACTGTACGTGCTGTGTACCTCATAATTAATAGATTATCATCACTTGTGCCTTTTTCATTGTACTCTGTTATCTGATCAACTGCAGAAGTGGTTGGCCATAATTGCCTTTCGGCAAAACGTGTGCCTCCAAATAAAATCTCTTATAGTCATTGTTGTTCTCATTCATTAAGCTCATGATAGTAATTGTTCATCTGTTGATCGTTAAAGTGTATTTAGTGTCAGTGATTTTTTTTTTTAAATAACAGAGAAACTGTGTTTAGTCTTTATGTAAGAATGTCTTGTAAACTCTTTTTGGTAGCACCTGGATGTGTCTTTCCACTCTGTGGCATGAAATACCTTTGAGAGAGGGACCTCTTTATTTTCGAGCATGTGTGCTTTATTTAATTTCTCCACTAGAGGCACACATGAGACCAGGCACAATGTAGAAATGAGATCTACAGTAAGACCAAATTGATTGTTATAGGCTAGTTTAATCTTGGTCATTCCGTTTTCCTTTAAACATGCTGTAAATGGCAATAAGAATGAAACCGTTAAAATGAGACACTAAGATTGTTTGAAACGTCCAGGACCTGTAATATTATTTATCTGTAAATTAATTGTGCATTTACATCATGGGGAGTTTGAGGTTTTTGGATTGCTGATAATATTTAGAAGATGGTTGAGAAGTAACGTCAATATTCAGTTGTTTCAGGGAGTGCAGAAAGAGCAGAAGTTCAGCATGCAGCTTTATAATTGCCAAGAGGCGCTGGTCTCTTTGTGATAGCTGAATAACAATGTTCTTGTATAAACTGTCCCTAAAGTGGCCTCTCGGTTGAATGGGCCACCTGGTTTTCTCCCTGTTGGGTTCATGGTTGAAATTCAGAGTGATACTAACTAGACTGGAAAGCTGGATTTGCACTGTACAAACACCAGATTACATGGAGACTGGGATCCATTCCCTACACTTGCCCAAGTCTTTAGCTGTTCTCAGAGTAGTGAAAATTCTTTCACATCAGGAGGCCCTGGAACAATGTTTTCTCATTGAAGCAGAGTTTGAAGAGCATAAGACACCTTTTGTTGTTTGAATTTGAATTATGCAGTGGATGAATTATAGTTTGAGGTTTTGTGACATTCTGATTCTTTGCTGTAGTGGGTTGGCATGAGGGTCATTTGTCATTGGTATTTAAATGTTTTCCCCTCCACACACTTTTGGTAGGATTTGCCTCTGTTTAGTGTTTTTTAAGTAGCTTAAGGCCTTCCATTTTAAGGGAAATTAATAATCAGTTTAACACTAAAACTAGTTTTGTTTTAAAGACAGCCTCGTCCTTCACTTATCATCTCAAGTCATTTTCATAACTGTCACTTATGCTGCCTTTTATAAATTTTATGATGAAAAAATGTATGCAGAACTTTGTTACTATGGTTTCTTTGTTGGATTGCATGCAAACGCTGTATTTTATTCATTTGTTTTGTGGGATTTTTGTAGGAACCTGAAGTCTTTTTACATTTGGGCCATTTTTGGTTGATTTAGTTTTATTTTACTTTTGGGCGGACACAAGCATGTGCTCTAGGGATTTAGGCAGGAAGAAGGTGGTGCCGTAGGTTTATGGAGGCCCCATACCAGCAAGTGTTGCACCAGGTGCTGGTTAGGTCCGGACTAAGCAGCAAGTCATTTTCATAACTGTCACTTATGCTGCCTTTTATAAATTTTATGATGAAAAAATGTATGCAGAACTTTGTTACTATGGTTTCTTTGTTGGATTGCATGCAAACGCTGTATTTTATTCATTTGTTTTGTGGGATTTTTGTAGGAACCTGAAGTCTTTTTACATTTGGGCCATTTTTGGTTGATTTAGTTTTATTTTACTTTTGGGCGGACACAAGCATGTGCCCTAGGGATTTAGGCAGGAAGAAGGTGGTGCCGTAGGTTTATGGTGTTGCACCAGGTGCTGGTTAGGTCCGGACTAAGCAGAGGGGGAGCCTACAGACCCAGAGGTGAACATCAACAAATGCACAATGTACCTTCTCATTCATGCTGTCTGATGTACCCCCGGTTTCACAGACAAGGCTTAAAGGGATGGTTCACCCAAAAATGAAAATTCTGTCATCATTT